ACTTTAATTAATGAACATTATTGCATAATATACAAATATTGTGTAATAGGCATTCTATATTGCTGTCTTGGATATAAATTTCTTTGTTATTGCGTCTTCAGTGTAATCATCCTCATGTTAATGTGTACACAATTATGCAAAGTTAAAATAAAATGACGATGAAATATCTAAGCTAAAATAATAGAAAACTTTTTTCAACAAGACAGTAATTCACATAAACTTTATTACAGATTTAGTGTTAACCCTAGACATTATTTACGAGAGGTTAGGATCTAAACTCGCACTGGTTTGTCCTATTGTTACTACTCGAACTATTACTTGGCTAGGGCCATCAAATTATCAACATTACGCTGTAGGGACAGAAGTATTTCCAGATGTATCGACTAATGTGGATATTAGTGAAACTGCTGCAGATAAAAAGTCCATTTTACTTATCCACCGTTTCAGCAAAGACAATAGTGGAAAATACAGATGTACTGATGGTGTTGATAAAAATGAATTTAACTTAATAATCAAAAGTAAGAATTAAAATATACAATTAAGATTTACTAAAATGTGTGCACTTGTTTAGAGTATAAATATTTGAAATCTTCAAAATTTAATTATTTTTTAAAATTTATTGCTAATTAATATTTTATGTTACATCACAACTCAGCATTAAAAATCATTTGAAAGGTACAAAATGAAGTTTTGAAAAGCATTCCGTACATGCAATATCTATCATAACATGTTTCTTAGTGAAGTCTTTTTTATATACAGAAGACCTTTTTTTCAATTTATCTCTCCCATAATGACATTTCTTTCTTTCAACTTGAATATCAGACAAATAAAATTGATATCATGCATGTTGGATGTAACATTTTAAAAATGTTTGTTAAGAGTAAAAGTTGGCGAAAAAAAATCAAATTCGTCATTTATCAGTTTATATTGCTACGTGTATTTCTTCACTTTTTGCGGTTGATTGTTGCTTGCTTGATGGCCATTGGGTAATATAGCTTGCATATTCAGGATTAGAACACATTTTAAATGATTAATACAATAGGTAGATTCTGACACTGGAAAACGAACTTTTGCGATTTTTATCAGAAAAGTAGAGATTTGACACTTACATTCCATAAGTTAATACCAAAGTAAGTTCTCTACATTACAAAATATGCCTAAGATTAGTGAGATGAATCAAAGCGATCCATGTCTAAAATGTTTTTTTTTTCGCTTCATTAAACTTTGTTACCGTCTTGTGCCGTTCAAAATATTAAACGAGGATGTGTTAAATGTTAACATTTTCATGAATTGATATGAATTGACACACAAACATATATTTAAACGACTAACACACCTTTTTATAATATAGAACTATGTAAAATTACATTATTGAATTTATTAGCATTGCATTGAGACAACAGAAACTAATAAACTGTTTTACTAACTTTTCTTATTTTATCAAGAGGATCCATCATATTTAGCTATAGTAAATGCGACAGGTGGCAAAATTACTACAGTTGAAGGAAGAGAACATAATTTAGAATGTAGGGTAACCAGTGGACAACCTGGCGGCAATATTACTTTGTCTACGGACGGAGTTGTTGTAGCAAGAAATGGACCTAGTTTTGTCGGTTACAGATTGATATCTCAAAGATCTGACAATGGAAAGCTATTCAAGTGTGAAGCTTTTAACAGTGAAGGCGAGAGCATATTGGAATCCTCAGTCTATCTTGAAGTTTTTTGTAAGATGTTTGTTCTCTTTTAGATATAATTTAGCAGAAACCTGAACATGCATAGTTAATAAGGATATATAGAAGTAGGCTAGGTAGATAAAGATAATATATCTGCCCTCAAGTCAATTTGAAAAACCTGACCAAAATATTGTATAGCAAACCATCTTTAATTGCTTGATTTGAGAGAATACAACGAAGGAATACTAAATTTATTATTAATATAAAGAGATAATGCGGGGTATATGTCATTGAAACTGCAAGCCATCGATCGACACAAATAAGCAAAACGACATCAAGAGATCAACAACAAGAATGTGTCCATAGTACACGGATGCCCTACTCGCACTATCATTTTCTATGTTCAGTGGACCGTGAAATTTGAACTTTCGTAGTTGGGGCATAAAAAAAGAAGCCTATACAATATGTCATGAATTAAACAGAGCCTAAACAAGACTTGCCATCAACACCAAAGTCTTCAATTTACATAAAACATTAAGCTATAATTACAAGTAAACAACAAAGAATGGCTTTAGGCAGGCGCATAAACATGTGGTAGAGTTACACTTTGTTTTTTTTTTTATTTTTCAATACTTCCATTTTTTTATTCTCGGTCACTGGACTAAAACAATGTACATATAAGTACATACAATAAATATCGGTCCATGAAAGGCACTAGCTTTATAATAACGACACAAAAAAAAATAAAAACACAAGAACAATCAAAACGAATATCAACTCTACTTTATCAAAGAATCTCGCAGTTGTAGTTATAAGCAAGCACAACATACTCAACATCATGTACTCCGACACTCTTCTATTAAAAGCTATACTTTAGAATTAATTATTGAAACTTCACAAACAGTTCAGGAAGACTTGATTTTGTTCAAACCTGTGCATATAATTTCATTGAATAAAGCGAACGGAACATTTCAGTATCGCTTCAAATTTGAAAATTTGACTTATTTATTATTTGTAACTGGCTTGAACTACTTTTCAGTAACTGCAAGTTCGTTAAAAACGACATTTTGTGTATTCGTGTTGTTGTTTGTACATGTATGCTTCATGTCGATCTTATGATCCAATCCCTTTCTATCGGAGTTATTCGGTTTGTTCTTATGTTGAGCTGTTACACCATTGTCCCACATTAGATGGAGGGAAAATTGAACACTTGCAACATCATATATGAACCTGTCCCAAATCAGGAATCTGTAATTCAATGGCTGTCGTTGGTTGCTGTCTGACAGGTGTGTTTTTCATAAATATGATCGTTTGTCGTTGCATTATTGTTTATACTGTTTTGTCTGCTAGGCCTTTTAAAGCTTACTAAACAGTATTGGTATTGCCGTATACGGTGACATATAATTGCTTACATCTACGTCATGTGGTCTCTGGTGTATAGTTGTCTCATTTGCAATCATACCACATCTCCTGATTTCAATTTATAGTCATTAAACAAAATGATTCCTTGAGTGATCAACAACACTCTAATTATAATTACTAGATTTTGGTGGGGTTTGTGTTGCTCAGACTTTTGGTTTTGTACGTTGTGTTTTGTCTTTTCGCAGTTTTTCTTTTTTTCCATGGCATTGTCAGTTTGTTTCCGACTTGTGAGTTTGAGTGTCCCTTTTTCGTGTCTCTTGCCTCTCTTTCATAACATTTATTAATACGTCTCTTAAGATACTATATAAAGGTAAAAACAAATGGTGTAAAATACACCAAAATTTTTTTATTGAATTCCTGTTTAATACGTCCACGACTTATTTAAACATTTCTTAAGAAGAAAAAATCGATAAATTTATGATATCTGTATGCCTGATGTAAAAGTATTTAGTAATTTTGTAAAGAAAATAATACGCGTATTGAATCTGAGACGTCACTCCAAAAACGCAAATAACGAAACAACTGTATTATTTATACACTCCACCAGAAGGTGCTTGCGGAACACTCTATCAAGGGAAAGAAAATTAACGGTACTTGGATTTATTAAGTGCGAGTTGTGCTAGATTATTTATCAAGGTAAAACTAACTAAGATTGTTTAAAGAAATAGTTCGTATGAATATCTGCAGGTATTGCTAGAAATATCTATGAAATAGTGTTTCTTCGAAAATTTAAAAAAGATTAATCACAAAACAAACACAATTTAAGCAAGTAAAAGACCTAATGCCTTTACAACTGATTTCTATACAGGTCCAAACAGTGTTATTTTCTGTAAGTTTTATTACAGAAAAAAGGAATTGTAACGACTGCAACACCTATAGTGACACCAAGATTTACCGAAAAACCAATTTACCAATCTGGATCAAAACGTCACTCAGCAGTTACATGTTGTTGTTGGAGGCATTTTGATACAAAATTACGAAAACGTGTTTTTGTAAAATTAAGGATTGAAGGGCGTTTCTAACAAAAACCGTATAATTTGCATCCAAAAAGGCCGTTAGTTTTCTCGTTTGAATTGTTTTACATTTGTCATTTCGGGGCCTTTTATAGCTGACTATGCGGTATGGGGTTTGCTCATTGTTGAAGACCGTATGGTGACCTATTGTTGTTAACTTCTATGTCATTTGGTCTCTGGTGGAGAGTTGTCTCATTGGCAATCATACCACATCTTCCTATTTTTGTATTTATTATTATACAGCTTTATTTTCAAGTGAATTTTGGTTTTTGTTAAGTTCGTCCTCATTATACTTTTTGTTGAATATTCAAAATTTGCTAAAATCTATCAAATTGCGATTATGAGGTTTCTTCGGGCGTTTATTTGTGATTTGTTTATGAAGAAACGGGCCTTATATTGTTTGAACCGTATGGTACATACATAGGGCTGTGAATTGTAAGTAAATATAACTAAATATTATGAAAATGGCCTTTATGTGAAGTAAGTTTAGGGGAAATTGGTCGTCCATCTTTATCTTACTTCACTGTTGTATTTTTGTATATAACAAAAAAGCCCCATTAAACAATATCATTTTTTTTTTCGTGTATAGGCTACTAATACCATCGTTGATACTACCACCTTTTGTAAAAACTTACTTTGGAAGTCCTTTAGTGTTTTTGAAGAACTGAACATTTTATTCAAAGTTAGCATTTTATTTACATTCATACAACAGCTGAAGCCTTTTTTGTCTTAACTAATATTGTTTGCTAAAAGCTTACACAATTATATTACAAATCAATAAAAAGCAGTTATTATTCAATGACATTGTTTTTATAATTGTTATTATCAAAATTGTTATTAATGATAATATAAATAATAATAAATCTGGTCGTTATTATTCTTTCAGATATTCCAAAGATAACCTTCAGCCCCAATCAAACGTTAACTGTGAAAGAAGGTGCGGAAACGCAACTGATTTGCAAAAACGATGGGAACGATCCGGGCGCAACTACTGTTTGGAAACGACAACCTACAAACACAATTATCACCCAAAATGATGAATTAAATTTCAAAAGTATTAACCGGACAGATGCAGGCCTATACACATGCAGGGTTTACACAAAAACCGGTGTTTATGAAGACAATGCAAAAGTTGTTGTGCAGTGTAAGTGATGCATTTTAAATTTGGCATTTGAAAGTTTTATATAATTAATTTTTTTGTATACGAATATGATTTTTTCAATCACAAATGATATGTTTTTACATCTAACGACATCAAATAATTTGAGAAAGCCAAAACAACAAAGAATATCGAGAAAGTGTTACTTTTCATAATATATCTTAATAATTTCTTTGTTGTTCAAGCTATTTAAAATCGTTTACATTTCCTGGCCTTTTCAACCTTCTTTGCGTTTTTCATTAATCTTCTCCGATTATTAACATGCTACATATTTTTAGGAAACAAATTGTTATATTTACTTATTAGCTGTCACTTTCATCTTATATATATAAACACACAAGTCTATTCAAATTTAAAGTAGCAGGGTCCAAGTACAATGGGTCAAGGTCATACATGCACATGTTTGCGTTACTTTATCCGTACCACACATCTACGGGATAATTGATGCGAAAAAGTAAAAAAAACAAAAATACCAAACTCACAGGAAAATTCATAACGGAAAGTCCCTTATCAAATGGCAAAATCAAAAGCTCAAACACATCACACGAATGGATAACAACTGTCAAGTTCCTGACTTGGTACAGGCATTTGTGATGTAGAAAATGGTTGAATAAACCTGGCTTTATAGCTAGCTAAACCTCTCACTTGTATGACAGTCGCATAAAATTCCATTATAATGACAACGATGTGTGAACTAAACTAACAGACATAATAGGTAAAAATGTCAATATTAGGGGCACAGCAGACAACATTGTGTTACAATCTTAATCACTATAAAAACATACAAAAATGTCAACTAAGAAAAACAAAATGGCATATAAACATAGCACAGAAGCAACCACGAAAGACAAGAATACAAAAATTTACCATAGCACGATAACACAATGACGGGATGTATAAGTATGTACTAGTATAACTAATATTCAATGACCAAAACTTGTACTATAAATAACAGCTATTGACCAAATCCAAGGTCTAATAAAATCATTTGGCCAAATAGGCATATACATGATCTATAATCAATTTCTATTTACCAAATATATACATGGACTATTGCTATTGACCGAATCCATGGCCTATAATTAAAATCATTTGACCATATGCATGATCTATAATCAATTTGCACTGACCAAATACATGTTCTATAAATAACAGCTAGTGACCAAAACCATGGTCTCGACCAAATACATGGTCTATAAATATATACATGATCTATAATCAATTTCTATTGACCAAAAACATGGTCTCTAAATAACAGTTATTGACCAAAACCATGGTCATGACCAAATACATGGTCTATAATTATATACATGATCTATAATCAATTTCTATTGACCAAATACATGGTCTCTAAATTGCAGTTATTGACCAAAACCATGGTCACGACCAAATACATGGTCTATACATAATATTTATTGATTGAAACTATGGTCTATAATCAACATCCATACAATAATGACCACATTCATGGTCTATGTACAAATTAATATATGATATTATACGTATTTACATTGTGTCATAGGTCAAATTTATTTGTTCAGTGTATGTTCACTGGTGTTAATATGTCCTTTGATTGAGTTAAGCTATTTCAGTTGATATTGTATAGTATGTTGTGATGTTACACTATTGTTTCAGAAAAAGGGTGAAGGTTTGGTACCATTAAAACGTTTAAACCCGCTGCATTTGTTTGCACCTGTCCTAAGTCAAGAATCTGATGTTCAGTAGTTGTAGTTTGTTGATGTGGTTCATAAGTGTTTCTCGTTTCTCGTTTTCTATAAAGATTAGACCGTTGGTTTTCCCGTTTGAATGGTTTTACACTAGTAATTTTGTGGGCCCTTTATAGCTTACTGTTCGGTGTGAGCCAAGGCTCCGTGTTGAAGACCGTACTTCGACCTATAATGGTTTACTTTTTTAAAGTTTGACTTGGATGGAGAGTTGTCTCATTGGCACTCATACCACATCTTCTTATATCTATATATGTCATATTCTGTTGACTAAAATACATGCTTTTTAGTAAATTTGTATTCTACATGTATGTCTGTGCTTTAAGACCAAATGAGGTAATGACATGAAACAACTTTTAATGATAAATGCTATTACGTGTATCCTTTCTGAATTAAGCTTGTTAAATGCTCTTTATAGAGATAGTTGGTGGTCTTAATATACGTATGTACTTGTATTAATCAAATTGTACTCTAACTATTAGACTTCAAATCAAATATAGACTTATTATACAAGTTTGTAAAACAAGTTCATTCCATAAGCATGATTAGTGTGTTGTTTACTAAATGTTCAAGTCCATTCAAGCTTATTATGAAAATGTAATGTTTACCTGATGTAACAAAATTAAAGTTGAGTCACCTTCATCAAAATATTTACAAACAATATACAAACGTGTACTGTAGTATAACTAACTTTCATAAACTGAAAATATAGAAACTAGATATTAACATATTAATATCATGAAAAATACATGTAATAATTATCCCTTCTTCAAAAACATATTTTCTGAATAAACATCTCAAAAACAGCTGTGGATATTTAAATCGATAGTACATGTACATTTGTACATGTACAACGTATTCATGTCATGTTAGCTTACCTATAGTGTTTTGTATTACATGTATAATCTTTTGTAATTTATTCGTTTGCATGCAAATATGTATATTTATTATTCATCTGTTATTTAATTCAACAAATTATATACATGTACAATTGTACATGGATGTAAAAAAAATTAGAAAGTGCATTTAAAATACAATGTATATGACAACATTCACAACTTTGTTTTTGTCATTATTCTCTGTTCATGCAAATAATAAGTAAACTAACCTCAACAAGCATACTAGATGAAAAGAAACAACTACTCTACACTATGACTCTATAGCATGCAAAATGGCCAGACGTAAACTTCTTTAATAGAATAATATAAAATTGATAAAATCGCAAATAAAATCTTGTTTACATAATTATCAATCGTGTTGATTATCAAGAATGTGTAAAACTGTGACGTGTTGTGTAAATACTGCAACAAAAAATCTAATGCAGGGGCTCCCAAAGGGATAGGCAAAATTTAAATAATAATAAAGCTAAAAATTTCCGTCATCTGCATAAAATAAGATATTAAAATAACTTGCCTATTAACATAGCACATAAGCAAAAACGAAAGACAAGAATACAAAAATTTACCATAGCACAATAACACAATGACGGGATGTATAAGTACCGAGCCACGTCAAATGGATATTACCCAAAAATAGACTAAACAGTAAAGGTAATAATTTGCAAAGACAAATAAAAAAACACTTTAACACGTAATTTAGATGATAAACAACGTCAGTACCTAGAATCTATACTTATTTTATATTTATATTATATAAGACAATCGTGTATTATTTGTGAAGTTGATACGGAATATTAACCAACAAGGTCTCGGTATCTTCCGATGAACTTTTTTTTAAGAAAAAAGACGAGACGTTCTTTGACATAACCCTGGTTCATCAACTTTTACTCAGACACTGGTGACGTTCTATAAAGTCTGAGTAGCAGCTGCAAGCTCTTGAATACCGAATGAGTTGGGAAATGTAATTCCCATATGCAGGTGAAGTTGGCATATTGCTACTAATGTGGGAGACATTGATAATTTAAAAATTAAATTCGTCTCGTTTGTCATAGACTCTGGTATTTAGATGACCACTTATATCAAATTCGAGGTATAAGTCTAAAAATGAGGCAGATGAAGCCGTGTCTGTTGTTTCTTTAATTTCTACTTCTGGAGGATATATTAATGGAACCCAATCAGAAAATTTTTGATAGTTAATGGAAAGAACATCATCAATAAATCTGAATGTGAAATTAAATTAAAAAGTGTCTGAAGGAACTGTGACTCATACGAAAATAAGAAGAGGTCGGCAAAGAGAGGCGCACAGTTCGTTCCCATAGGAATGCCGACAATTTGTTGAAAAAGTCTACCTCCAAATTCAACAAATATGTTGTCAATAAGAAACTCCAGCATACTGATCACTTGTTCTTCTTTGTAGCATGTTTTACCTTTTTGTTTACTATTAACAAAATATGCCGTATGGTATCCCAAAGTAATAAATTTATAGCGTATGCTCCCATTTTTATGAGTCAGCGATCCAGTTTACATGCAAATTACCTCTAAGAAATGTGGTCAACCTTATAATTCCCGATCCAAAATTTTTTTTTTCTTTCTACGTTAACTTTTTTTGTTACCCCAGAATTCAATTTATTTGTATCGCGAATAAATATATATCACAGTGAAATCGAAATAGTGTTAACATTGGTTCCGAAAGTAGTTTCAGTGGTATGGTTTTTCGAAGTGTAAACAAAGGATAAAGGTGACATTAAACTATGAGTATATATGCAAATCGTATACAAAACTTATAAGCTTTTAAATCCCATTTCGACCCTTTTAAATTAATATGAATGTTCTGTAATCTGTACAATTCTGTGTTGCGGTCTTTATAGATTTTACGAAATGTTTCATTCTCTTGTACAAATAAACACAAATGAATTTGTTGAATTTCCAGATGCTCCCACAATCGATATTCGATATTTTCCGACAGAAAGAAAAATGAAGTGTTTTCCAAATGGTGTCCCCGATAGATACATGTTTGAAGACTGGGAACATACAACGGAATACAACGATCATGTAAGGTTTTTGGCGACAACGAAGGAGGGGAATAACGCAATTTTTACTTTTCCTCAAAATGTGACTGGAATGCGATAGAGGAATATACATTTGTCGGGCTTCGAATAACATATCTTCAACTGATGGAATGTATGTAATGCGAAAGTATAATTTGAATTTGAATGGTAAGTTCATTCTCCTTATGTTCATATGTGGTAAAGAACATCTATGTTGTCCATGTCAGGTTTTCATTGGAATTCAGTCGATAATTTCTATTTGGGGTTTGGGTTTTTGCTATTTTGTCTACATCATTATCGGTATCTCATAATCAAAGTATGAACCGAACAGGAATATAACAAGGTTCTTTACAGTCTAAGTCACCTTTATTATAGGAATTTTTTAATTGCGGTTTTTGAATGAATATTAAAACAGTCAGGTAAGCTGCGTTTCGGATTCGTTTTTTGCCTAAAAAATAAAGGGAAAAGTTGGATATCAATGCCATTATGGATAAAAAAAACTATATTCTATAATATTTTTACCAGTAGTCTGGATTACATAGGCTAAAACTGAACCACGAAATCATGATAACCTTGATGTCATTTGAGAATCAAAGCGGGATAACAATAAAGTATCTACTTAATGATTCGGCACGTTTAAGTCATGTATAAACTTTCGTAAAGAAATCTATTCACTTTATAATATAAAAATAAGGCGATGTGGTTTGATTGCTAATGAGACAAAAGAGGGGCGAAAGATACCAGAGGGACATTCAAACTCATAAATCGAAAATAAACTGACAACGCCATTGCTAAAAAAGAAAAAGACAAACAGACAAGAAATAGTACACAAAACACAACATAGAAAATTAGAGACTAAGCAACACGAACCTCACTGGGGGTGATCTAAGGTGCTCCGGAAGTGTAAGCAAAACCTTGCTCCACATGTTCCACATGTGTCACTCGTCGTGTTACTCATGTTAGTACAAACCCTGTAACAAGTCTAATTCAGTAGGTCACATTCGTGAAAAGGGGACGGGATTGTAGTTACGACATAAGAACATATCCGATATCATCTGTGAAACGGATATTCCAGAACGGTCAACCAACTCGTGATGGCGTTCGTAAAATTTACGAAGGGCTGATTTCAACTTCACTATTTGCAACTCTGTGTTTAATAGCTTCCTTGTGAGCAGCAACCCTCTATCAAGGAAATCATGATAGGAAATACAAGCCCGGGAATATAGTATCAATTGAGAGACATATACTCCGTATGCAGACGCTGCTGGAATGTTGCTACATAGAAATGGAAAGATCACAATTGGGAAGCTGATATCATCTCTTTTGTCGTGAAGTTTTGTTTTCAACCTACCCTCATTGTCAATTTCTATATGTAAGTCAAGATATGAGGCGTACTTAACTGTATCTGTTGTATCCTTTATCTCAAGTTCGATGTTCAACATAGTCACCAAATTTTTAATTATTTAGTGAGAGAACATCATCTATATAGAGGAAAGAAAAGTTAAAGGATACTGCTAACTTCTTTTCTTTCTTCCTAATAAGTTCCTGTATGAAGTCAGCCTCATAAGAATAAATGTCTTTAATGCAATGCACGTGACTTGCAAATCGACACAATAAATAACTAAAGGTTAAAATTTTTAAAAAGTGAATTTTTTTTTAATTATCCACCAAAATTCAAATGAAGTGGATGTAGGATACTAATAATTTCATGGTTTACCCAGTTTTCAGCACTTCAAAAGAAAACAATATTCAAAGCCTGAAATCGTATTTCTGAGTGGACACCATCTAATTAACTATCGGTGACCATTGCATCTTATTAACTTTTGTCGTTCTGAATTACATTTAAGTATATATTAAAAAAAAATAGGCAGCTAATGCCCCGACCATGTAAATGTGAGAGAATTTGTCCAAAACTATGTGTAAAATTGCCATTTTTGGTCAAATATTACAATTTCACCATAGGTATGACGTCAAGGTGACATCAATAGCACCTTTCTGCACTTTAATGTTCAGACTATATTATCATGTTCTCAATCTTAGAGGATTGACAATATAAAGCCGTATGGAGCTAAATCAATCTTGTTAAAATTCCAATGAATCCGCCAGAGTGCTCTTAAGATAATACAACAATATGTATAGTGAAGGATAAGTACAAAGTAATAATATATTTAATGTCCTTAAAGTTGAAAATTGGGCTTTTTAGACAAATTCTATTTATCATTTAAAAATATTTATTTTCTATCATAACAACTTCTTTTAGGCACACCTTATTTTGTCAGCTCTACTGAAAACACCCAATATGGAGTTTATCTCAAGAGAGCAGAGATTAAGATAAAGTTTGTGAGTGTTCCCGAATATAACAGTTACAATGTCTATAAGAATGGAACCAAATTTGCAGATTACACTCCAACTGTTCAAAAAAATATGAGATTAACGGATAATATATATGGTAAAAATGTTTCGGTGAAAGGTTGGATCATATCTTTACAGATACAAATAGACACTATAGATGATTTTAACTCGTATAAAATAGTTGTCAAGAATGCAATTGGAAGTTCAATCTATACAATAGACCTTGTTTCTGCAAGTAAGTTTAAATTGATATTCTAATAACAAAATTTATATATAAAAGTACATTTATCAAACAAATTAAATATTTTTTTCACTTTTCAAAAGTTTTACCCTTTAATTATTTATTGTGTCATTTTACAAGTCACCTGAATTGCATTAAAGAACTTTTACATCTCAGCATAAAGTTGTCTTTTCCAGTTGAGTACACACATACAAAGTATGACTTTTCTATATTGTTCTAGTTAATATTTTAATTTAACTGTATACATGTATCAAGGTCGTATTTTACAATATCTGATTCAGATACGATACAAAGTAACATTAATTCTTGTTTTCTGTAGGTGCTCCATTCATGCCCAAGATTCTTCAAACAGCAGCAAAACAAACACAGATCTTTGTTTTGTGGATACCAGGATTTAATGGTGGTTTTTCACAATGGTTTAACGTTGAATATAAAGAAATAGGAGAAATATACTGGAAAAGTATAACAACGCGTTCATTCAACTTGATAGTTATTGGTGGATTACAGCCAGCAACTAAATACCTCATTCGAATGTTTTCAAGAAACATGATTGATGACAGCAATAGAACAGAAGAAATTCTTATCCAAACGGGTAATGTAGTAATGCAGTAGATGCAATTAATACAAATTTATTACATATATTTTTTATTATATTTAAATCGTGTATATGACAAGCTTAAACCAGCAGTGGTAGAATCGTGTCGAAAAATATTATTCATACAGAATAATATTCAATGACACCATAGCGAAAAAAAAACAACATAATTTACGTTACTCAAATATAATTATGTTTCTTTTAAACAAAAATAAGAACCGCCTTCATTTCACATGTAAAGGAAAATACAGAATATTAGTTTTATTTTGATCTTTATTAAATATTGTTTTTACCTCGAACTATGTCGTTTTACTGATTTCCACTTCATATTTTAAGCCTTTATTATTTTCTTAAATTTTTTTGATAAATTGTGTTTCTTGTAATTATACCATTCGGGGTTATTAATTTAAATCCTTTCACATTGCCTTTTCAATATCAACTTATGAACATTTTTATACTCCCACTGAGAAGCGACTAAAGCATATATATTCACGCTTGTGCTTCAATGATCTATCAGGCTCTTCGTATGTGGGCTCCTGCAAGGGACGCGGAAACAAACGATGTCTGACTTGCAAGCAAATACTGAATACCCAGGCTTATAACAGTCACTACGATGGTATGGAATACATCATATTTTGCAATGTTAATTGTAAGACTCCAAATGCTGTGTATCTCATACAGTGTAAATGTGGTAAACAGTATGTTGGCGAGTCAGAACAGCCATTTCATAAACATATGAACGACCATCATAGCGACTATGAATGCAAGCCAGACCTTCCTCTCAGTCGATATTTGAGACCCCCCCCCCCTGGCCGCACTAAGGCAGATCTCAATCGAATGACCATTACAATCATAGACCACAACACTGCTTGGTCTAGGGAGGATAGACTCGCTCAGGAAAAATTTTGGATAAGAAAAAAATTTGGCACCAAATGGGATCAATGAAAAGGTTTTGTTCTAATTCGCACAGTGCTTTTCATTTGGGTTATATTTCAAATTACTACGCAGTCTCTGTTGCTATTCCTTTACCTTTGTCAACTCTAAAATTCTAGAATTATACCAGTTATAATCGCAGGGTGCTATTCATTTGTGATGTATAAGTACGCAGCCACGTTCAATTATTTAACCTGTTTCAAAATTATTTTTTTTAATCATTATCAAACTGCTTAAATTTTAGAAATGTATCTGTTCATATCGTTAGTAGCATATCTTTGCAGTCCCTGTTGTAAATACCTAACCTACGTCATTTTTGAAATTTTAGAATTGTACAAGCGTAGTTGTGTTCAGTTTTAATTGTATGAATTTCAAGATTGTTATGGTTAAATCCGAAAAGATTGATATGATTCATTTTACATCATAATCATACTGATTAAGGATGTCTGTTATCTGAAATATTTATAGATAATTACATTTAATGTTTCCTTTGTTTAATAATGGTGTTGTTTTGTACACTTTTTAGGCGTTTATATATATATAAGTACGTCTAAACAAGTGACAACTCTACGACAGATCCATCCATTGGATCACCAGTGAAGGTGATACACGGCTGAAAACACATATTATATTCATAATTACTCTAAATATCAGCACAACAATGTTAAATCTGTATACGTCTTAACAAACAAATTAACAAGAAAAGTTTTTTTGATAGGCTGGCAATCAAGCTACATATTGAAATATCAAAGTTTAAATCACTAAATTCCCCTAAAAGCATGCATCCCAAGTGAATTGTTTCCTTCAAATATTTTTTATTTTTTTGAATGTGTTTTTTCTTCAACCTAAATTTGACTACATAAAAATATTTTGTAGCGTAGAACAGCTGAAAAGCTATCATTTTGCAGATGGTGGTATTTGGACAACTGTATGGGTTCTTATGATTGGCAGTGTTATTAGCAAAGAGCGTGTTTGCAGTAATTTTATTATGTCAAAAACTTCTTTTGCACTAAATGAAATATGTTTTTTGGTTTCATGGGGATTACCTATTGAATCACAGACAAACTTGTTGGTATTCACTCATTTTATCCTTTTCACTGGAATTTCAGGAAAAAGGCGCTATTTATATCAAATACGTCATCAATATTTCAAAATGCGTTTAACAATTGACCAATAGTCTCTGTTTTAAAAGTTTTTCATACTTCCATACAAAATTTTATTCTTTAGAAGACAGAATATGCAAAAATGTTGGCGTCTTGAAAAATAAGAAAGTATCCGTCCTTGACCATTTATCGTGATTTGACAGAAATTGCACCTTACGAATATTTGAAGACCGGGCAAAAAAGATAGTACAGATGATATGCTTTCAAATGATATATGATTTAGCCTTATGTTAGGTGAATGCATTAAAAATGAAATTTCATGGGTAATGTCCCTCGACTATAACAAATTTTGAAAATATGGTGATTTTCAAAGATACATTTTAAAATTGTCACAAATATACGATTTTGTTAAAGTCATTTTGCTTGTGATTTTACTGGGTTTTTTGCTATGTGATGAACGCTAGAATACAAAATGCGTTTTAAATATCCGGATTATTGGTTTACCTTTTTACAATGTAATCATTTGCACATATGCTTGATTTATTTCAGACAAATATGCAATTGTAGAAACATCCCTTTCTGTCCAAAGCGTCGTCATTTTATCATTAGTGATTATCATTGCAGTACTTCCGGTAGCTGGGATGGGATTATATGTTCGTAAGTTCAAAGTATGCTATTTGTTAATCCAAAGACATTTTTTGGGGAATATCAAACACATAATTGCAACGTAATATAGCACACAAGAAAAGCATATGCCAAATAAAACAGACTATTCATCAGAAGAAATGTGGTCTTTATATATGTATTGCGTTGAATAACGCACCATACGAATTTTTAGAGAAATGTTATTACAAATAAAGTATATATGTCTCAAAAGGTCATCGTATATATTTTTACGGTTCCGTTTTGACTGTATTAAACACTTTGTAAGTTTGGAATGAACTCTGTATAAAAAAAATATGTTTTTCTGTAATTGAGTGATACCAGTTTTATCTATTTTCAATGTAAATATTACACAAAATTGATTATAAAATTACATACTGAATGCAAATTAATGATATTAAAGGTTTGTTCCATGTTTTAATTTCAGGTAGACTGAAACAGAGGTACAGAGACAGGTGTGTTTAATGTTGTGTTAACATATATAACATAATTTTATAAAATTCTAGAGAACAATGTTGGTGTTTTTTTTCAAATGTAGAACAGTTGCAACCCTGTATTATAATTGATCTTAGTCATGTAATATTGTATTGATCTTTTTGGCAATAAATCAGTTTTGTAATCAACGGTTTTAAAAATGTCCAAAACTTACTATTGCTTGTTTGTGGACTAGTGGACTTGCTTTTTTATCAATCATTCCTTCTTGTTATAGTAGTTCTTCCGCTGGCCGATTAAACATTTAACAACAAATAAGGAAATGATTGTTAAAGACTGGGAAGATAATAAGCCAATTACTTTAACATGGACACGTTGTTTTTGTAGGCAAGAGGACAGTTAAAGGCGATTTATAACATACTAAAACGTATATCCAAATAATAAAAAGTCTTAAATAAACTATTTTTGATGCAAGGATTTATTAATATATATCAGTATTTCGGGTGTATTTTAGTCTAGATGCCATCTGATTTACCACCGAGGTGACCTCCGAAGACTGCCGACGGTCATATAACCCGATATAAACATAAACATAGATATAAATAGGCCAGAAGACGGTTGAGTGAGCAATGATTTGCTTATGCTGTTATAAGGGAACGCAATACATTTTTTGAATAAATAGTGTTTCTCATGATAATTTTAAATGATTTCTGCTGTTAATATTTGCAATTTAGTTTAAGTTTACACATGTCATTTAATCATTTTAGGATGGAACCTGCAATAAATGTCCAAACACCTGAAGGGACTTTCGGTGAAAGTGCTCATTATACAGATATAATTGAAATTGATAACCTACAACCCACATCGCAATGCACTTAATTTATACAATACCAAAGAAGTTTAAACATTCCAATTCGATGTTTACTACCTGTTAGTAGGTACCAATGCGGATAGACAACCTAAAAGGTTCAATTAACCATGTTATGATTGGTTCATTTCTTATTTCATTTAAATGAAATTTTGTAGTAATGAACTGGCTTCTTTCCTCGTATATTTGCAGTAAAGTTTGAGCTGAGCATTTCATTGGAAAATGTTGCCTTAAAGATACTTGACTGCCTCTGTGCCTCCTTTATTTCTTTTCATGCTTCTATTTTCCGTTTTAGATTTCAGTGGAAAAGTTGAATGATTGGTCTCAAATGTGTTTAATAAAGGACATTTCAGTATTACGTATCTTGTACACGATTTTAGTAGTAATTCCACACAGCTCAGGTCTTTGATCTGATTATTTGCGGTCGTCATGTTGTACATAATGAAGAAGCAAATCTAGGTTCACTAATGACTAAAATTATTTTTAAGAGGGCAAATTTTATTTTGATTTTAAAAATAAGTTTTGCTGATCAGTTTTCTTGTTTCTGTGTACTTCTATCTACTCTAGTGTTTACCCAAAACATAAGGCAACTTAGTAGACTTAGTATTTCAGAGTTTTGTTGACCTGTGTGTATGTATTGTCTTGTTGATTATTTTTGCTTTTTACAATTTGTCAATGGTGTTTTTCTATCCGTTTTGCCCAACTTATAAACAATTAGAAGTCATCTGCCAATATCGGTAAAGTTGACTAATTAATTTTTGTTCCTCGTTGTTTTGGGGTACAGTTTACTTTATCTTCTATAACCTTCCTTATAAATGAACACAATGGTTAATGATCATCATTAAAAGTCAACCATTTATTTAAGGAGTCGATTGAATATTTTAGCTATGTTGATATAAGTGCAGACCTTGTATCACTTATCATTTTTTCTGTTGACAGTATTGTTTTATCTGCCATAGTTTTGGTCAAAAATGTTAATTCTTGTAAAACCTTGTAATTTTGGTCTGTTATTCCTACAACGAGTCGACCTACAATTTCGGACATGTTGGCACATTTGTGGATGTTGTCTTGCTGGTTAATTTTAGTTTCTATTTATCTGATATAGTTGTCAAGATCATATAAGCAATACAAAACAATCGTACACACATATTAACAAAATAATAAGAATCATCATTTAAGGCAATAAAGAATTCACCTAACAGTTCGATTCGAATAGACAGTATAAAGATCTTGGCATGCTGAACATTTATGCCCCCTCAGATTTCTATAATTAAAGAGGTTTTTGAAGATAAAAAACATAAACAGCATGTTATCACTATGTGCTATGTTTAACAATGTCAGCAATTTTTGTTGAAAAGAGAGTTAATTGGCCACATTTTTTAATCTATATGCCCAAATGATAATTATGGCCAAGTTTGGTTTCAATTGGTTCAGTAGTTTCAGAGAATGATATTTCTTCTAAACTAAAAAGATGACAGACGTCATACGTTATGTAATGTATGTGATGCTAAACCGGTCAGATGAGCTTAAAAAGGGGTAATCGTGACTGACTGGTCTGAAGTATCATCTACGGTGATAAATAGCCTGCACTTCTGATATGGCGAGTTCGAACTGCGTTCCTCACGAAGAATGCTCGACTCCTATGATATTTGACAATGATGCAAATGTACTTGACGACGGTTGATTATTCTGTCCGGATACTCTTGCACCCTGCAGCAAAACACAACTAGCCTGTATGATTTAGCCATGATAGCACAAAGTGGGGTAAATTCCAACAATAAAAAAACCAGTCGTAAATACATTGTTTATATATATGCGCCAAATAAAACGTACTCATAGTTGGAGAAAACATTGTACAGTTTTCCAGGCTCTTCAGAAAACCTTTTGTGTCTTTACAATATACAGTCAAATTAACACCGTCTTCTGATCATATTTTGATTTGGATAGAGTTGTAAGGAAAACGGACACAAATTATATTATTCAATTATTGAAAAAGATGATAAAAATTGAAACCAAACTTGCATATATCCGGTATGCTTCTTAACGTTTATTAACGATTGCAACCGGAAACTCTGACGTTCACTTTTTTTTAAATTTACAGAAGTTTTATTGTTCAAATATGCAAATGATATATTGTGGTTCTAATGATTGCAGAAAATGATAACTCCATCATGTCAATGACCAATATAGATATAGACGTAGTGTCGGCAGAACAAACGACTACATCAACAGACAATGATAGAGATTCTTCAGAATATTTAGACGATGGATATGAACAGCCATACACCACGCTGGTGGTTACTGATCAAGTAAAAGACGATCATGTTTATCTCACTACTAGACAAAAGTCAGAATATGAAAATGCAATTCCTTTTCAGAATGTTGCTTGTGGACATGCCTGTGAAATCTTAGAAGAAGATTCTTTATCAGATAAAACAAATGCGCATGATGGCCAAGAAAATTGGAATCTGGATTATGACGTGAACGACTTTAACGAAACAAATGATAGTGTGCCTCAGACTTATATTTATCCGCAAATGAACAAGGCAGAATACATCAACTTGTCACTTAATCAATAACATTAAGTTTTAGAATTTATCGTTTTAAATGAACTTCTTAACATGATAGTATTCTTAAGGTAGCACTACAGTCAGAATTTTCTGACTCCAACTAACAGTCTTTAAAGATTAATTTCTCCAAAACTACTCAATGGTTTTTTAAAAATCTTTAACTCATTTTAAAGCTGAAATATAACTCTTTCTTAATCTATAGATAAATTTATTTTTGGTATGATTAATCTCAAAATATAGCTCATTAATTGCCAAAAAAGTGGTCTTCCAACTTGGATGAAAATGGCACATTCAGGTCAAATGGTAGTAAAAATTTGTTTTCATCCCTTTAATCAACCATTCACAATCTACAAAACCGTGTCTCAGATTTTTGATATATGCCTCCAGTAATAAGATATATTATTTTTACTGCTGGATGCCAAACCTCATTTCACCTTTCATCTTTGGAGACCTATAAATTCATTTAGAAACAAATTATCCAAAAACTGGGACATGGTATTGTAGAAAATACTCCCTTCAATCACATATATCAAAGTCAAGCCAAAGGGGGTACCCATAAAGTTTCTATTTTCATTTTTTCCTTACAATTCTCATGAAAAATTGTTCTGAGAAATGACCTTAAAACTGAATTTCCTCTTAAGAACCCCTATAAATGCCACATAAATACAAAAATTCCACTGGGAACACCCCAGGAGTGTTCTGACACCATTACTTTATCAATAGAACCACACACATTGTGTCTTTGATGCTCTAATGCTGTAAAATTTGCATTTTGTGTGCACTGTATAACACTAACTTGGCATTTGGCGGGAATTTGACGTCACAGATTTGACCAACATCTGTGTTGTAGTAATTAAATAAAGACAAAGCTCCGCCTCTGTCCAGACAGTCTAAGATAAGAGAATAACAGGATTGGCCAGCTGCATCATAATTGATATTTAACATCATTATTCTCACTATAAAGAATACTTTTCATTTGAACTTTTTATATAATATGACCATGATGACTGAAATTAGCTAAAATATTAAAATTAAAATACATGTCCATAAAAAGATCAAGACCATCCCCTTCTTGAAAATAGACTGTCCAACATGATTTATGAGTTTCATGGAATTAAAAAATTTCACATAAACTTAAAATTAGTTAAAATGCCTAAAATTATTTTTAAATGTAGAAGACCAAAGACGAGAAATTTATACAGGCAGTCCAGGGCTTTCAAAGATACTTTCACACTCTTTTCCATAGTTTTTTTTCATTTTGGTAGATTTTTTCCCTTTAAATTTTTTCCTATTCATATCTTTTTCTTTTTCTCTGTTCTAAACTTCCATGTTTTATAAATTAGTTTTGTTGCAATGCAATGAGATTTTATCTTGTGGTCAGGGATTAACAGCTGGACACTGGTATCAACAGATGATTGACATATTAGCCCCTCCCAAATGCCTATATATTTAGATTAATTACATGTGCTTTTATTTACATACGTTCATTATCAATTTACTCCCTGTTGTGATATGATAATGACTTTGGAATTTTTACAAACTGTGCAGAATAATACTTACTTCAAAATAATGTGATAAAAAAAATATCTTCAAAAAATCATTGTTAGACTGTAGTGCTACCTTAAATGAGGTCCAATTTCAGTTATAATCTTAGATTTTAAAATTTTTTAAAGCACATTTTGCAAGATTACATTAAAATGACATGAGATTCTAATACGACATCCTATATATCGTCAACCAGTATAACCACAGTATCTACTTTTACTGCAGACGCATTAATACACAAAATAACCTGTTCCGCGTTATGCCAATCTTATTTACACGACACAAAGAAAACTAAATTTTCGACAGTTAAACCGACGTTTTACATAGGCCAAGCTCCAAATATGATACGGTTATCTCTATTCCTATGCAAATAAACAAATCACTCCATTTCAGTTATCATTTTGATGTAAAATGTCATTAAACGAAAATGCCGCCAAATGATGTCATCGTCTTTGGCAACTAAACAAGGTTGTCAAGACAGAACAGCCGAAACAGTATCGTGTGTATAGGGGTTTCATGGTTGACAACATTTCGGCTGCCATGAATATTTTCTTCAATATACGGAGCTTTGTATTTGACCAGAATAATCAGAATTATACTGTGTAAGCTAGCTCTCAACAAAAATGCAAAAAAAGAAATTTACTCCTGAAAGGAAAACCACTAATACCTACCCATAATCGCTTTCTCAGCGCAATTTTACAATTTTGAACCTGATATATGTCTTATGTTCAAATAGAGAGGTGGTCATTTGTTGTAGCAATCACTTTATATTACATGTATATACTACTTGTTTTGTTTATGTGATTTATAAAACAATTCCCATCACATGTAAGGTTCATCTGGACTTTTAGGCTTAAATTTCCGTGTTTACACCATAAAGTTAACTCTGAGTGCAAACAAACTTGTTCATCTGGATTACTCTTGAGGACATTTTCGAATGCTCTCTTCAATTTTTTTAGGTTAACTGTATTAACGTTCCTAGTGAATTCAAAAAGCACCATCATCTCATCTTATAATTAAAGCTAAAAATAATGGGGAATTTTGTCTTATCATGTTGTAACCATCGATACAAAATCCTTGGTTCTCATTTATTTTTGAATCCAGTTTTGCAAAATTTAAGAAAAAAATTGTTTCAAAACCCAATCCTGCATTGAAAAAAAAGTAAAAGGTATTAATTGTAGAATTTGAAATTAAAACAAACATCTTAAGTATATTTATATATATACTGGTATTATGGTTTAAACAGTGTCGCTATGGAAACAATTTTATGATGATACATAGATTTGATAAAAAATCAAAATGTTTCATTTTTTTTTTATGTGAACAAAAGTAGAAAACTAAAACAACCTACACATAATTAAGTTATACCAAGTACAAACCTAGTCTATATATAAATAATTGTCCTTGTAAAGTATCCATATCATCTTGAAAACCTCTATGAATAGAGAAATTCTGACAGGGACAGAAATGTCAAGAATTGTGCGATGTATCCACTGTCCATTTACATTTAAAAAAATGCTGAAGTCGCCCGACATTTTGTTAGGGTACAATTCTGGGCATTTCTTTCCCTGTCAGATTTTCTCTAATCATAGACGTTTTCAAGATAATATACTTGCATTTTGCTCCCTTTGTTCTATACTTATCCATCATGCCAGTCATATTGGTTAGAAGGCAGGATCATCGTACACATTTTAAAACTAAAATGACGAAACAATATAACTGTGGCAAAGTTTGTTTTTTTTCTCTTGCGATGTCCAAATTTTACAGGAACGTCGACTTCTGTGACGTCCAATAATGAAAGACAAATAGCAATAAAAAGTATCAAGGTGTATCCACCACTCTAAAATAATCGTCGTACTTGCTTACCTGGAGTGTCATCTGGGTAAAACATTACCCTGTCCTTTTATTTAATCAAATAAACCCTTTATGAATTGCATTCGTCGGAAGAGCTTTGCTGCGATTACATTCATTAGGAACACTTTAACCTTAACATTTAAAAGCCAGAGATTCGTAAATACGCTGCAACATTAGGTGCCATATGACCAAAACGAACATTAACAAAAAAATTAAAATCATTTAAGGTCAACTTTGACTGACGGTGTTGGAACCTTAGTTCCAGTTAGCTTAAAATTGCAGGACATACTCGAAGAATATATACATCCCTTAATAAATGGGAAATAGATTTGAATATGCATATTGAGGCCACACCAATTTGATAAATAGTTCTTTGGACATTTGCTCTAAAAAAAAATGGGGCGAGCGAGCGAAATTTTTTTGTTTTTATATATTTCTTGAAAATGAGTTTTTGACAGGCGAGTGGAGCGAGCGATATCTTTTTTTTTTAAAGTGATACATGCTAGGGTTATCAAACAGAATATGAAGGAAAAGCACTGATGTTATGATGCATACATTTAAAATTCATTTGCCTGTACCAAATCATTGAAAAGAAAGGATGTAAGGTACACATCCATGACACAAAAATCAAAGGAATAGGGCTTTTATTGCTGTTCTTCATCTCAAAGTTACAATGAGGTCTTCAATGCCAGGCAAATACTCTAACATCACAGCAAATAAGTGTCTTTTGTTATCCACTGTGGTATAGTTTATTTTTGTTTATTCATTTTCTTTAATCAAGCCTTTGTATGAATTGTTATTGTTTTCAGTATATATATATATGAGATTATTTGATAAATATTCATGCAAGTTCAGGACCAAAATAATTAGTGAATGAAATATTTCTTGGTTTACATTAGAACATGCAAGATATTCAATTGGCTATCTAACATGGTTCCTTTTCAAAGCTGACGGCCTGTTATCCCATTTGAATACATTATTCTGACTCTTAAGCAAACAACTGTAAACTCTTACACCTTGCAGCAGCAAAAATTTGAAAAAAAATCCTAAATGTGACTTAGAACTGACAATGCCAATGACCTTCACAAATGTAAAGAGCATGCAAATCACATGACAATTAAATTGATACTTTCAGTTTGTTACTTTTTGGTGAACAGCCTTTTTAGATGATGTTTGAGGTTTAATTAAATTCCACCAAAACAAAACATGGGATTTTCTCATGGTTGAAGACTGTTTGGTTGCCTATAATTGCTTATATCCACTTCTTTTGAATTTTGGTGGATAGTTGTCTCATTGGCAATTAACCACATCTCCTTATTATTATATTAAGAGCTCTGCTTGGATGCTAAAAGACAAACAGAAGGATATGAGTTCTCATCAAAACCAACCGCTGCTGTGAATTGTAAGATGCACTCTGGGAATGAATAAATTCTTAATATCAGATAGTTTTATTTTGATAGTAGGATTTTGACATATTTCACAGTAAAAATGTACTGCTCTTCAAATCAAGTTAATTGAATTGTCTATGACCTTTTTGCAAAAACTTTTTCCCCCATGTTTTAGCTTCTTTTCCTGCAGTTCTACAGGTTTTACATAATGGTCGAACAACTGAAAACATAGTATATACATTTTGTATATAGTCATCCACATCATCTAGTAAATCTTCAGTTTTTCCACAGTAAATGCAGCATGGTGGAACAAAATGTCGCATAGTAGCACCATAATAATTGATTTCTACTTCAGAGTTACATGACAGACTTTCACGAACAAACAGTCCGCTATCTACAGGAAAGGCATCTCCACATGTGTAGTTATCCTCTTCTCTAATACGAAGAAGTATTCCATCCTGTAACACAAGAGTTAAATTCAAAATATACATGCACTGTTCATAAAATACACATGTATATATATATAAGATTTTAAATAAAAAAAGTTTCACTAGTGTAAATATAAGGACTGAAAAGTATTATATTTAATTCTTCATATGGACATTCATTTTTATGATACTGAAGTGGGCCTAGTGCATAAAATAAAGTTGGATTAAACCAGTTTTATGAGTACTCATAGTCACATCTTGCTAAATAGTATAAGATGTAATCAAACAAATGAAAATCTCTAAAGCAAATCTCTATAAGATGGTTTGCATTTTTCCTGTGTATCAAAATGAGAAAAAAGAGAATGGATTTACACTGGGTCTATCTGTACTGTCAAGAACCTTAAACATTCTAGTTGCTTTATAAACTTTTGGAGGTCTGCTATGTGTGTAACATTAAATAGTGATTTTGCGCCATTAACCCATATTCATTCTTTCTCATATCATTGTGTTTAAATGAGAAAAGCTGATTTTCTATTATAAATCCTTTACTTTTTATCAGATAAAATGTTAAAAAATAAATGATAATATACCTGCTCTCTTGTCATTTTAGTGTTGCTATACACACATCTTGGTTTAAAGCATTCACTACACAAAATCACATCTCTTCTTTTTCCTGATTTTAAAACATCCCTGTTGATTTTATCTGCTTCAGCTTCTAGCCCCTGCACATTTACAAAAGAAGGTCTGTGTTTGTCATTAGTCATCATTCCATAGAGTTGAAAATAAATGACAACCAAAGTAGCATTGACATTTGAACTGCGTTACTATTTGAGCAGTATGCAATATTTAACTAATATTATAGTGAATAGTTTTCATTAAATGTATGAACTAGGTTCTGCAACAAAAAAAAAAAGAATTGGCTGATAGGATCTTGTTAATATAGATAAAGAAGTAAAAGTGCTTCTTTCAATTAATTTATTGGCTTTCTATCATATAAATGCCTGTTGTCTAATAAATATTGTATGAAGATATTAACACAGATTTTTTTTTCATTCAAATTTTCAGAGCTGAATCATATCATGGTCAGATGTGTCCAGAGACCAAAAAGGCCTTAAACATACAAAACTGTCTTTGAAAGGGTCCATGGTGTACATTAAAATTTGATTTACTTCTATTAAAATGCAAAACTGAAAATGTGAATTAGTTATTTATGTATATATACCCAAATTAATAATTATAAATCATTAAGAAGTGTGTTCTGGTGAAGGTTTCAAACATAAGTTGATTGATTGTAAATGAGAAAACTTTCTGAGTTTAAGCTGACTATGCCGTATGGATTTTGCTCATTGTTTAAGTCTGTCAGGTGACCTATAGTTGTTAATTTTTATGTCATTTGGTCTCTGGTGGAATGTTGTCTCATTGGCAATTATACCACATCTTTTTATTTTAATATTAACTATTGCATTGTATATCAATACCTGATCAAATGGTTTATAATGTTGGCCTGTTTCATCAGGAATAGGATCTGGCAAAAAATGAAGCTTGTTGAACTCAGCATCATCAAGTCTTATTGGATTTAAGACACAATATAGACAATTTCCACATTTTTTCAGTTGAAATCCGTAGTGACAAGATTTCCCATGCCGTTCAATAAACTCCTGTTTTATATATAAATTAAATGCATTTCAATTACACAGATAATCAAGTACATGAAGTATGTACAATCAATATCACATAATATGTCTACTGATATTAAAAAAGAACTTCTACTTGTAGGAAAACAAATTAAATTTATATCAAAAGCAATTATTTGCTAAATGGGCAATACAAGTACACTGTATATGATTTCTGCTTCTGAATTGATTGATTGGTGGTTGCTTTACACCTCCTATGCACACTGATTCTGAATTGTGTTTAATAAAGAACAGAAAAAAGCACATACAAATGAACATGTATTAATGGTGCAACCTATTTCAAAATTTAGAAGTGATGCTACATGTACATGTATGATTTTGACCTCTGACTGCATTGCAATGAGTTTCTTGCTAATGTTATATTTAAGCATATACATGTAGCAGGTTTGGTGAACATCCAATTTAAAGTCGTGTTGGTAAAATGTTTACAATGTTAAATTGTTTGTATTTCATTACTATGATTACAAGGGGATACATGTAAAAAGCTATTTTATTAATAAAGAGCATCATATATTTAGACAGTCATGACAGTATATTTTTTTTAATCATTTTGTTAAATATTGGAAGAATTTTTAGGTTTCAGATGATGGCAGATCTTGCTTCTGGTTAAAGACTCATGACAATATAGAGCTTAACAATTGTCTATTGCTGAAGACAGTATGTTGTCCTCTTGGTCTTTTGATTGTTTTTGTTGCTGGGTTACTGTCTCATAGATTTATATCACAAATACCCCTTTTATTCAAATAAACATGTCCCTTCAATGCTTTGTTATAATAATAAAAAGTATGTCTTTTTAAAACATTTTTACAAAGCATAAATATTAAAATTGATATTTTAAAGGGGTAAAATACAAATATATGTTAAACATACCTTTAAATCTTTCAATTTGTGCAATGCTTTACTGTTCATTGATGAATTAAGTTTTGTGTGGTCTGCTTGAACAAACGGACGTACAATATCTAGACTGTCTTCAATTTTCTCCTTTCTTACACCTTTGTATGTTATTATGTTTTCCTCATTTAGTTTCATTCGACTGAACCTGTTATTAATTTTGTCAATAACTTGATTAATGCTGGTTGAAAAGGCTGCTCTAAAGCCTTCTTTATATTCGGCTAGATTACGTATAGCTGTTAGTGAAGATTTATTTTTGATAGCTTTTTCAAATTTCTCATCCATGGTGTTTCTTTCTAAAGCTACATGTTGAAGAGCAAGACTTAATAAGGACATACAGCGTTCCGCAGGATTCATCCAGCTATGATTTGGAGCTGTCCTTATTGCAACTAGCATGTCTTAATCTAGCTGCATAAATAGTTGTACCAAAGATATCTTTACAGTTTCAAATGTGACCCTGTGATCTGGGCCACCATCAGTAAGTAAGCAAAGGACAGGTGTATTTAAATCGACATTATTATCAGAATAATGTTCCCTCAATATTTTAGTGATCTCTGTGGCATGTACAGTTCTTGTGAATGTCGCCTTTCATGAACTTGCATCAATTGTTCATCAAAATACTTTCCTAGTTCATCATAAAACACATCAAATTTAGTATCAACTTCTTTGCCATTAAGCTTCCTGAAATCAAGTAATAATTCAGGGTCATCACTTCCTAGTAATATTTCATTTACCCGTTGATTAACTTCATCCTGTACTTTATTTTGAGCTTGAATTTCACAACCAGTTAAGTCAGAAAAAATATGCCTCAAAACACTTTTTGGAGTTTTAATGAATTGTGAATACTTGTTTATAAAATCTCTTCTGATAGCTCTACTAGAATATTTAGGCAAAGTTGAAGTAATTTTAGCAATTATTTTGGCATTACGCTCTGAGGTTTCAACACTATCTTCTGATGAGGTCTGCCAAACAAAATTTAGAGTGCCTATTGAACCACCATAAGCCATTCGAAAAAGCATAATTGGACAAGAAAGTCCCAACTCATTAACATAAATCCGTCGTTTTATACGATCTTTTGGTGAATAATTATCAAGATCATTAAACTGTAAATTAGCAACTTTCTTAATGGCAGAATCTAGTTTTCCGTATCGGTTATCTACATTCTGCACTGCAGGAATACATTTAGTCATAGAACCCTGTTCTACAGTTCTTGCTAGTTCCATTCTTTCATGGTGCACAGTTTTATGTCTAAAACTATCTTTGTCTGGTTTTGTTTTATATTTAGTTAAACACTGAAGAAGAGCCTCAATATTATCATACAACACCTTATTGCGTTAAGTTTGCATTGATGGGAAACTGAGTGCTTTTGCAAGATCAGAACAAATAATATCAAGTTTTTCAGATGTCACAGAAGGTGACTTATGATGAAATTTCCAGAAACTATTATACCCGTGAAACGACTGAAACATAGTTGGAACTTGACATCCACTTTCTTGCAGTCTTTTATGGATATGGTCTATATACCACAAAGCATTTTTTAGTTTATTCAATACAATTGTCCCCGATTCCAAAGTATCTGATGTCCACCCACACTCCATTGTACCAGCTATGTCAATAAGGTCATACAACAGTTTCTCTGGGCCTATCAATTTCTCCTTGCCCTGTTCACACGTTTTTGGTTTAGGTTTTTTAAGAAGTTCTATTGTTTTTTTCATTAACACTGCAAATGCATTCTTTTTAGGGGGACCTCTTGGTAATTCACTTAAATAATTGTTTGGATCTGAGGGTGTTCGCCTTTCTATTTCAAAATTCACAAATTTACAGTTTAACTCGCCCAACACAGAAATATCCATGTCAGTGCAAACATTGATAGGTGATGCCGACGGTTGTTGACGAATTTGTATGTGTTTGATATCATCAAAAGAAATATTGACGAACTTTGCCCTTTTCGCTTCATAGAAAATATCTTCAAATGTAAATGATGACGAACAACGGATAGCTGTTTGTTCAATGATAGTCTGTCCACGGCATTGAGCCGAAACCACAACAACTGGACTTGCCATTTTTATAAATTTTAATATTTCCTTTCACATTTTATTGTTGATCACACGTGCGTTTGAACCGAGATTTGATTATATGCAAAAAGAAAACGTCAGTGAGAAAAAAAAAATTCAAGGCAAGACTAATTTCGGAGCGGCATGCGGACCAAAAAAATACGGAAGCGGTAGTTATTTTTTTTTGGTTAAAAACTTGATTTCTCCAAAACAGGAGCGGGAAAATCCAAAGAACTATTAATCAAATTGGTGTGGCCTGAAGATTGGAATATTATTTACTCCATGCACTTTTATTATAACCAGAAATTCGTTGCTAAAATTTTAATTACTACAATATATGTTAGTTCTCTGTAAACCCAAGTTTTCAGCAATGACTTGATACTGTTTGTCTTGGCTGTAAAATTACATAGAGTCTCATCCACTTTAGCAAGCTCAAACCATATACCCAATAGTTTGAACCTCACAGAAAGGTTCCAAACAAAATTTTTGTCTGGCAAAAGTATTTCCATACTACCCTCTTTTTACCCAATCCATATAGCTTCAGTTTTGTCAACATTACACCTAAGTCCAGCACATTCTGAAAATTTATCAAACAAAAAAATGTAAACATTGGTTTAGGGACTTTTGGTCACCATCCAGGACTAGGGAAGAATCGTCAGCACATTGACTCAACAAAAATTCAGAGTCATTAATTGTTACACCAGCAACATCTGTGTAATTTTTAATAGCTGCACTGACGAACCCCCCTTTTCAATGAAAAAAAATTCTGAAATATATCCGTTATTTAACACTGAATTAGAGGCTTCACAGTAGCATGCTTTCATCAAACTTATAAATGTATGCTCAAAGCCATAAAACTGCAAAGCCTCTAATATAAAAGACTATTCGACTGTGTCGATAGCTTTTTAAAAATCCAGGAATGTCATCTTCCTCCATCTTTTCAATCAGATCATCAAATTTTGACTTACATTCCTTTGGTATACAAGTAATGATTCCCTGTCTTTGAATGATAGAGAACTTTCCATATTCTAAAGCCTTATTTAAACATCTTACCAGTGGTATCTTTATATCATTCCCAAAAAATTTGTAAAACTCAACAGTGAATCCATTTATACCAGGTGATCATATGTTTAAGAGAAGAC